TTTCTTTCTTTCTTTCTTTCTTTCTTTCTTTCTTTCTTTCTTTCTTTACCTATGGTTTGGAATAGGAAAGAGAAAAATCTGGGCAAAAAATAGATTCCACGAGAACTAAAAGAAGTGATTAAGAAATTGCATGTCTTGAATATTCTCTTTTACTTCCTAAACTTTTAGTATATGTGCTGCCGAAGCGAGCACTCTTCCTAAACTTTTAAGGATTGATCATTTATATAGCAACTTTTTAAACTGTTTTTCCTGTTAACAAATAAGGCATTTAATAAACTTAACTAAGTATACAGATTCCAGAAGCATCATTTCTGTATCACTTTAGATTTCCTTCAAGTGAAGTAATATACTTGATACGTAAGATGTTTATACTTAATGAATGTCTATAATAAATAGAGGCATGGAGATCCACTGAAAATTACGAGGTAAGGTCTTTAGCCAGTTCACAGAAACAAATCACCTTGATTTGTAATTCAAATAAGATCATGGCCTAATTGCCAATTTAATGAATGGATTTTGAACGCTTACTATATGTGTACATAACATGACAGGCACCAAGTATGTAGAAATGAACAGTTCACACTCCCTGACTGTACTAAGTGTAATAGGATTTATAGAAGGTATAGAGGAAATGGAATAGTGGGAGTAGTCCAGAAAAAGTGAAAGGAGCAAGTGATAAAGGGTTGGGCTCTGAAAGCTGAAAGGACTTCATTCCCCAGCAGTCTTATTTGGGTTAGTGGAATCTACCTTGAGTAACTGTAGCTACAGTTTAATTGTTTCTGTGTTGCCATCATTCTTTTGAAATATGCTACCCTTAAAGTTTGACCATCCAGTTTCTTCCCCGGTCAGAAAATAATCTTACTGAGACCTTTTTCTCACGCTTTTACTCTACTTATATTTGATTTATTAAAAGTAAATATTGATGTTCACTGAAACATCAATCCCTCATCAGGCTACTTTTTATAAACTTTGTATATCTATGTTTATACTGACAATGATCTGAAGAGAAGGAAGTATAGGCATAGTGTAATCAGTATCCAAAAAATTTAAGGCAGGTAAATCTTTAAGGATTTTCTTTAAATGTTTATTTAAATAATTATTAGAACTGACAGATGAGTAAGTTCAAGGGTTGTATTATGCATATCCTAAGTGTAAAAAAATTAGTAGAAAATTTTCCGTGTGATGTAATAGCTTTAAAATCAGTAAATTGGCATAAAGGATCATTTTATTTCTAGAAGTCACCAGTGTATTAACAAGTAATACAATAGAAGTAGAATTATTTTTATTGTCTGTTGTTTCAATGTAATTATTCATAGTTTTGTATATTAATGAACATTAATATAAACTATATTGTAGCAGTTTCTTTTTAAATTAGAATATATAAATTAAATAAAGAGCATTTGCCCTTTGCTTACCCTCATACTTCTTTAAAGGCACATGCTGTTAGGACCAATTAGTTATCATTTATGCTTTTTTCTGTTGTTCTCATTGGTTGGATCTAGATTTGCCTTTAAGCTGCGTGTGTGTTATTGACATTTTCTTCAAAGACTCACGCTAGAACCAGATGATAAAATGAGTTGTGCTCTTCAGCAGATACGTTTACAGTATTCAGCCATTTGTAGGTGATTTTGCTGGGCTGTAACAAAATAAAGCCTAAAGCATCATATTAACTGTGCTGTTTATGTGGGTGCTAATACACTTTGAATAAAACCCTCAATTACTAAGTATTTTTGAGTCTTGACAAGACAGTCCCATGACGTTAATGGTATCTTTATAACCTTTTTAACTTCTTGTTTCTCTGACAGAGCTCTACAATAACAGCAATGGGTTTGCCCTTGGCAAGCAAAAACTCATTTTGAGAGGATAATAGGTATTTACTATTTAGATAGCTGGCAATAAAATTTCTCTGAATGAGATTTTCCTGAGAAACTATAAACTGATTAAATTACTTTCTTTTAATGGACTGGAAAAGCGTGTAATAATAGTTTGTTGAAGCTTTGTGTCCAATGTCTTCCTTCCTTTTTTAGAGACACAGAGCAGTCTGGTTTTAGTGAATTATGGGGGATGGTAGAAATTATTCTTCATTGTATAGCTTATTCTTTCCTTTTTCTTTAAGTAATAAAAAAAAGTGAGTACTTCTATGAAGGATGTGAGCAGTAATATATCTGTTTACCTCAAATTTTATTTTAATCATAAGTAAAATTTAGCAGTTGTTTTATGCCTCAAGAGTTTAGTTTTTAGGAAATATACCCCAATGGAGATATAAATTTGGAAAAACCACCCTATTTTTCTAGTTAATATTTTTGCTTGACTTATTTGAAACAAATGAAAATCACTAAACTGTTTTCTTTATCACTTAAAGGCTAAAGTTGAATATTTTCCTTTTTATAGTATTGATTATTAACATATGTGTTTACCTTATGAGCAATTTAATACAAATTTTTTATGATTTATAAAATTCAATATACCATTCTATGATACAAACTATAAGAAAGAAATTCCCATTAGTTCTGATAGAAAAGAAATACATAAAATACATTTCATTATTATAACTCTTGGTTAAGGGACATCTCAAAATTCCACTTAATGTTAATTTTGTCAATAAATGTCAACTAAGAAAAATAATTTACAATTCTTAATTTGAAATGTGAAAACTTACATAAAATATATTTGGTAATTCATACTCTAAACATTATTCTTTAAAGACAAATCCATTATGGTCCTTGGGGGTGACAGCTTGCAGAATATCTTTCAAGGCCATGAATTTTGCACAGAAGTACATCAAATTCAGTATTTTTATTGGCAGTCAGAATTTCATATTTGTCACTATAATAAAATTGTGATTGAAATGGGACCTTGAGTGTCCTGTCCTTATGTGAAGTACTTTGAATTTGAATATCATACAGATCCTAACTTAGAGCACATTCATTTTCTCTTAAGCTTTTGGCACTGACACATTCATTGCTGGCATTGTTTTTCATTCCAACAAATCTGCGCTGTTGGCACCAATAGGTACAGGGGACACGAGTCACAATAGTAAAGAAGTGAAGAGAGAAACAATAATATTTGTCTTCCCCTTTGAATGATCTATTCCAGGTCACTACTATAAGCTATAAACTACTTCATAATTTAAATTGCTTTTATTGGGTCAACTGTTTTGTCATTGTGCTTTACTTCTGCCTTACTTCTCAGGGTTATGATAAATAAACATCAGTGAAATAATGTCTAGTCAATTTACTAAAATTTGTTTTCAGTTGGGCTGGGAAAAAAATTTACAGAAAAATTGATTACTTTAAAATGGAAACTTATCCTCTTTAATATACAGTTCTACTTCAATTATGATAGTCCTGACGTTACTGGTAAACCAGATTTACTGAACTATAGCAGGGGTATAATGAATATGTGCTTTCATCTTACTCATTTATTCTTCAATAAGACATAAATTTACGTTGCCT